AACATCTAGCCCAAAAGCTACTTATTGGACTTCTCTCTTCTAGAACTAAACTCTAAGTGGAATTTCATTTAACATAACAAACGATACCCTCCCGTGACATTTAAAATGCAAGCTTTAGGCGTCCTCTAGGAATTACCCCATTTATTGGAATTCATCCTACTCTATTGGGTGAATTTCACAAAGACCTAAGTATAATTATTAGGCATGGCTACCTTACCCTATTAGGTAGATATTTCTCTATTATTCTAACACTAAGAGAATCCCAAAACATATAAAAAATCATCTAAGTTCCTTTGATACAACGATCAATCATTCCACCTTTGGGATAGAATGATTATATCATTGCATCTTAGGATTTATAAGTAGTAGACTTGCCTAAAAGCAAGCAATGAATACTTTATGGGTTTTTCATAACCCCTCGTAAATATGAAATATTTAAACCCCCCCCTAAGAGATGTGGCCAATATGATAGAAGTAGGGACTTGACAGTTTGAGCGCTAAGCAAATTCTGGATGTTGTTTTTCATGATATGCATATATATTCAAGCTCCTAATTCTTTGTTTGTATGCTCGAGTCTTTTCTCTTTTTAAATATATTTGATTAAATTTAAGATGTATATTTGAACTTGTGGGGTTTAATTTAAGGAAAGGTGGATCAAGAGGATGAACTTACCAAAATTGAAGCCCAAGGTTAACTTAGAAGCCAAAGCTTGGAGACCTCCACAAGTTGTATGTAAATAAAATTTGATTATGTTGTATAATGACAGACAAAAGAGCTGTTAAATTTGATTCTAATAACTGGGACATTATTTGTGTTAATTGTTTACCTAATTGTATAAAAAAAAAAAATTGATTTTTCCTAGGTTTTTTCTTTGCTTTTGCTTCGTGGTGGCCTGGACTTTTATTGCGGTAGACTCTTAGGACAAAATTAAGATTTCTACAACATAAAATTAATCTTAGGTTCCATATTTTTTTAAATATAAGAAAAATTGCATGGCTCCTTTTAAGGAGCCAAGTTTTTAAAAAAATGCAAATGATCATACATAGCCCAATGAGTCTCATGTAGCAAAGCCCTCACCTAAAGACTAGATAACAAAAAATCTGCATTTGTGAGTTAGCATTTTGCATACCATTCATGGTCAAACATCTTGGTCTCAAAGCGTGCTGTAAGCACTATCATATAAATGCAAAATAACCTTCCCTTCTCTATATATCCATTTGAGACCAGACTACATGGTTTTAAAAGCTATTAGGTGGATTAGCTGGTAGATCTTTCCAGGCAGGACAATAAATTCAATTGTCGGGTTGGCTATGCCTCAGGTGAAGTTTAGTTTATAAGTTTCTTTGCACTCCAATTAAACTTAGGTTTGAGGCACTACCCCTCAATAGTCCTCACCTAATTTCTAGGATTCGAGACAGTTGTTGATCTCAATCACTTCATAAGAACTCACCTTCCGGGCATTTCCTCTAACACGTGTTGTTGGAATATATGCCCCAATATTCTAAATAAAAATGATTAACTTAAACAGAAGTTGATTCTAAAATATAAAGCCCAACAACATAGGATAGTTTGAGTACCTCTGAGTTTCCCTCAACATTAAGTACTCATACATTTCATTCTATTGGCTTCTATTCCAAAATCAGATAAAAATTCAATCTCTTTATCCTTGAAATTCTTGAAGACTAAAATTTTTAAACAATAATTTTATAAATTTCAAAATGAAAATCATTAGCCAATATTTTGATAATTTTCAAAAGATAGGAAACCATTTGTTTAATCAAAAGTTTTTTCAAGTACCAAGTGCTTGAGATATAATTAATCATAGGGGCTTGTCCCCTTTGGGGCATCTGTATCTCATAATAAAATAAACCCCATTCAACCAAATATTAAATGTGGGAAAATCTCTGTTTAAAATTCAAATTGTAAATTTTATAATTGAGTCCATAAGAAAGTTATATTTTTTTGACCTTTGGGACAATATATCATTTTATATGCTATGCTCGATCACAAAATGTGCTGTTTATTGAGGATGAAAAAATTTCTCCAACAGGTATTTTTAGTGCAATCCATTTCACAAACAACTTTCCTGCTTATTGCTACAATTTTGTGTGATGTTGTGTTCAATCATTGCCATGAACTCAATTTTAACTTTGTTTGATTTTTATTTCTTTGTGACACATGCGTATGTCAACCGCTAACAACTATTTTACTTACCTAGGTGAGCCATATTTGCTAACCCCCTTTTAAAATAAATTTCTTTGCAAGTATGAATTTAAATGAATCGAGGTTGAACATTAGCATGAAAGTTTGAATCAAGCTTGAAACGGTTTAATTCGTTTGCAGCTCTAGCTGTTGTCGATCAACCAATCCCCCTTACTCTCTCTCTCTCTCTCTCTCTCTCTCTCTCTCTTTATGTGCCCTAATGTCTCTCCTATTTGAAGAGTACAAGCGATGTGGCTGGTATAAGAGATATTTAAATAGACAATACCCGTTGACATGTCACTTGGCGAACATAATGATGGTTGGATTATTATCAACATGCACAATCTTCGAGGAGATGCTAAGATTGGTGATAGGATTATATAACATGCGGAGATGTTGAAGTGGTATGAAATTTATCACAGCTTTTTTTGCACAATTTTCGATGCTCCTAGCTTGTGAATCAGGCTCACTTCTGAGAATCCTGCATAATTGGTTATTGAGTTTTTGACATTTTGCAACTAGCTTCTTGCACCCTTAAGATAGAGTATAGTCATGGTTATTGAGTGATTGGCAGCTACATTTGAGCTCATTGGCTTGGAATTGATCACTTATGGGCAGACCCCTGTTTTGTGTATTGATACATGTCATGGGCCAGATACATTCTAAAGTTGCATAAGAATACATTGCAAATGATTGGTGTTGACAAGGTAGTGTATGCATTTATGTTTGACTATGGGAGCATACTTCCATCATAGGCAGGATGAGTAGAGTTCTGGGGTTATGGGATTCTGGTAGCGACACTTATTAGGGTGGTCCTAATGAGTTGATGATTGTATTATGGGAGCTAAAAGATGTGTCAGGGTTGCTAGTCTTTGGTCATTGCTTACAGGAATGCATTTCTCCTGATAGGGAGCTATTTTATAGACAACGTTTTGCTGACAAAAATTGATGAGGAGAATTGGCCCTGCTTCTAGTTTTTCTTGAGCTTCTTAGCAGTTATCTACGAACTTACTGAGTGGCTGGCCTTCCATGTGACGTCGAGCCACCATGCTCGTACATGTATGGATACATAGTTTTCTTCCAGAGGACAAATTGTCTCGATATGTTGCATCATTTTGTGATTCTTTTGGATTAGGGTTATAACATGGACACTATTTATCGAAGGATTTTGCTTGGCTATCTTCACCAATTGGATGCTTATCTCTAACAATACAAGATATGAATGTGAAGTTATTTCTAGCAAGATTTGTTATCACTTGATTGTGCATCTTTGTGTTGCTCTATTAGTAGCCAACAGTATCTCTTGGGGTGAGCGTCTATATTTTGCTACTCCAGTGCTTACCAGAATAAATGGAGTTATGAGTATTCCTTGAATTGTGGGGCTTGACTTTCCCTTAGCATTAGATATACACCTGAGTTCATTTTCACATCTACAGAGCCTTTGCTTGTTTGGAGTGTCCTTATTTTTTGGAGAGAGTATATCTCATATTCATCTGGCTATCGCGACATCATCAATTTTGGAGTGAGAATGGGTATCCCTCTTTTTTTTTTTGCTCCACTTAGTAGTAGATCGATTTTCTCTACTTCAATAGTTGGATGTACTTAGTTTGTCACTTGATTTGAGGGAGGTAGAGATCGCGGATGGGCTCAATTAATGTGGTAAGCATACATTGTTAGTGATTGCTCTAACTTGAAGGTTCCATATTATTTTATCGTTATGTGATCGGACTAGTTATGTTATTGTTTTGGTTGCTCTATCACTTTATAGAGATATCATCGCAATAAGGTCACTTTCCAATTTGGTTACCCTTAGGCGATAGCATATTTTGGGAGGGCATTCATCCCAGAAGTAGTTGGTGCTTGATAGATTGACTCACCATCCATTGGGACTAGATTTAATGCAATTTACATGGTATGAGTGCACTTACTGAGTCGTGTTAGTGGTTTGAGATTTTGCTGAACCCCTCATAGCCATATTGGGTCAGCTATATACATTTGACTTGGGTGTCTGTCTTATGTGCCTTCCTTCTTGGATTGTGGTGCTTGGATGTATGAATGTCGGGAGAGGTTACTAGGGCTCCCTAAGGTCAAAGGCTTCGACTTGGCACTTCATAAGCCGACAGTAGTGGAGTTGATATTATCACAAACTTTTCATTTCATTTTAATTCTTGCATTTTTACATGAGCTTGACGGCTTACTTTAATTTAAGGACAGCTAGATGGATCAAAGGCTTGACATGGTGGGAGAAGTTATTCCAACTAAGGTGCGGGCTCGGGAGCTATATCCTAAATATGTAAGGTGCCTTCTCATGCGCACAAGTGTAGATGTCCTGGCTATGTGGAGCCACATCGTGTATTAGCGGATTGTTCACCAAGCCCAGCCCCATGATTCCCTATGAAGATTTGCACCTATTATAATAATAAGCTACCACTGGTTCAAACACGGCTCGGGCCCCCAATGTGTCCAAAACTAATATAGATGAATTCTGTCAACTAGAACGAAAGTAAACCATATAATGAATTAAAATAATTAGTTGTTTGATTTCCTTTTCTTGTGTATTTATTACATTAATTTTTATATCATGATATATATTCTGCCCTCACATAAGAATGATGAAAGACTAGGCGAATTGATAATGCCGGCAGATTCTTTTTTAGGTGGCAAACTATTTTGTAGTCTCATTGCTGGCTTTGTGGAATGCCAATTTTTATTTTAGTTAATTGCTTTCTTGTTCTTTAGCTTTAACGTCTTGCCATCTTTTTTAAAGCTCCATGTTCTGTCTGTATGATTGAATTCAGGTTCGTCAGGAAATATCACCTGTGGTGATAAAAGCCATATCATATATTGTTCCTATCCTTCAAAATCCAGAGGTGAGCATATTTGTAATTTGTAACATGTTTTTTACGTTTACAATATTCATATTTTTGCTTCTTTGACAGGGTCTCAACAAATCACTTTTAGAGAACAGTGCCATTACACTTGGTAGGTTAGGCTGGGTATGTCCGGAACTTGTAGCACCTCATATGGAACATTTCATGCAGTGTTGGTGTTCGGCTTTGTGCATGTAAGTAGTTTTCATTATCTCTGTAAGTTATGTGTTGTGAACCAAGTTTTAAATATGTTGATGGGAAATTTTATTTGTTTTATGCGTATCTTGAAACATAACATATTTGGAAAGCCTCTCAAAACTCACAGTTATCGTTCTTCTATTTTTTCTTATTCAAAACTAATGGAAGCATAGACATTTAATAAATGCTGGAGTGCATACCATCTTTTTTCCAGTGTGTTATCCCTTCACGTTAAAAATTAAATACAAATAAATAGCACCACCACCTTACAAAACCTTTTTTTGATGGTATCAATGCTAATTAGATTTGTGCTGTCATAGTCAGCGCTCTATTAGTAAGCGCCTTCAAACGTCTTATGTTTTGGTTATGCTTCAATAAGCTAGGGATGTACGTCAGCAAAGTTGGCTTAACGTGCAACTCAGCTAATTTACATGTTTGCCTGTTTGGATTGTAGAATTGAGATGCAGAGCTTGAGCTCGGCTCATATTGGCTCAGCTTATTCTCTAGTTTCATTTCCATGTTAAAACCCGGCTATCTCCTTAATTAATTTAGCTAAAGGACTAACTTGAAATATAGAGAAACAAAACTCAAGCTTCATTTATGGTCTAAACCCACCACCAATTGCTCCATCATGTTCCTTCAACCATTTTCCGTGTTGCCTTTTTACTCCAAGATCGTTCTAGTTGAAATTGCGTTCTCATTATAATATAGTTTCTCACAACACCTCTGCCATTCTCCTCTCCCATCCCCCCTTATTGCCTCCCTAGTTCTTTTTTTTTTTAATTGCAGTTTGCCGGCTGTTGATGTTGCTTTATGTCACTTGCAATTGATGCTGTACAACTTAATCCAAATTGTGGTGTGAAATGCTTAATGTTTGGCTAGGTTTAAAATTAATTATTGATTTACTATGTGAATTTTAACGGTTTTGAATAAAATATTAAAGAATTATTGACAATAACAGAAGATAAATTAATATTGTGTGTTTGTAAGAAATAAAAGGGAATGGGAGAATGCAAAGAAATTCAGGAAGGTTATATGCTATTATTATAAGTTTTGATGATTAACAAGACAATGGGGTGTGAATATTAATGATTATAGAGTTGAATAATAAAATCGTTGAGGTTAATTATATTAATAATATGATAATTACTCTTAAATTAATTACCATTGAGGATATTATAAATGTAATAAATGTTTATGCTTTTAAAGTTGGATTTATAGATAATTTAAAGCAACATTTTGGAACATATGGATGAACTATTAAATATATATTTGACAGAGTACAATTATTGATGGTGTCTTAAATGATAGGTTCTAGCAAGTAAGGGCATAAGAGAATTTATCTCTACTTTAGACTCGGAGATAAAATTTAAGTTGTAGGAAGTTACACTTGATTTTGCATAAGGTCATAAGTTAGCAAATAAATTCCTATTAATTTATATCCAAATGAGACTAGAAAATCACATAGAAATATTTGTTTACTCCAATTTGGATTAATGCTGGGTAGGTCTATTATGGAAGCTATACATTTATTGACGGGTTTGATGGATAAGTATAGAGATAATAAGGAGGATCTATATGTGATATTTATTGATTTAGAGAAAGCATATGATAAAGTTTCAAGAGAAGTGTTATAGAGTGTTCTAGAAAAGAAAGGGGTTAATAATGCTTATATTCAAGTTATTAAAGATATGTATGCAGGAGCTATTACTTTTGTTCAAACATAAGGTAGTTTGTCCTCGTATTTTCATATTTTTGTTGAATCACATCAAGTATCAGCTTTAAGCTCACATATTTTTGCTATAGTCATGGATTTTCTTACTAGACATTTCCAAGAGGATGTACCCTGGTGCATTTTTGTTGATGATGTTCTTCTTGTTGATAAGACTAGAGAGGGAGCTGAAGGTAAACTTGAATTATAGAGGTCAACCTTATAGGCTAAAGATTTTCGATTGAGTAGATCTACAACTGAATATGGAGTGTAATTTTTGTAGTAATAGATCTAGCAGGGGGATTGTGACTTTAGGTGATCAAGTCATTAATAAGATTGCACGTTTTAGATATCTCAGGTCTATTGTTGAGCGTAATGGTGAAATAGATGATGATGTTATTAATAGATTTCAAGTTGAATGGTTGAAGCTGAGGAATGCATCAGACTTATTGTGTGATAGAAAAGTACTTCTCAAACTTAAGGGGAAATTCTATAAAATGGTGGTGAGACTTTCATTGTTGTATAGCGAAGAATGTTGGCCATTAAAAGATAAGCATAAAATTAAGTGTTGCAGAGATTAGGATGCTAAGATGAATGAGTAGCTTTACTCTTAGAGGCAGAATGCGAAATAAGTATACGTGAAAATGTTGGAGCAGCTCCAGTGGTAGATAAAATTAGAGAGAGTTGCCTTGGATGGTTTGGTCACATAAATCATCGACCTTCTGTAACATGGTTATGAAAGTAGATGTATTAGATTTGGCCCATATTAAAAAAGGTAGAGATAGACCTAAAATTATTAGGTTAAAAAATGTTAGAAATGACTTTTTTATTAGATTTAAATGAGAATTTGACTCTAAACAGAACACAATGGAGAAAAAAAAGATTCATGTGGCTAACCCTATTAGTGGGATGAAGTCTTGATGTTGTTGTTGTTGTAAGGAAAAATTTTTTTTTTTCAATGATTATGATGGAGTTCCCGGGTCAAGTTTGATTACATCAAATTGAATGATAATAGTGGATGTTTATCTTGGAATTGTATGAAAAAAGCATTTGACAGAAGTATTTGCCCTAGAATTAGGTATTGGCACTTGAAAGATGAGAAGTTGTTGATATTTTTGAAAAAAGTTTTTAGACATGCAAATTCAAATTATGTAGTTGAACCATACTTTATGTTGGATAAGATAGCTAGCTATACTAAAAAGATAATCAATTAAGCTATAGGAAAGTATACAAATAAATCATACATAAGGAGACCTAGTGATAGAATGTTTAGGTACAATGCTTTATTTGTGATAGACATTTGCTTTTAAATAGTGACAATATATAAATATTCTTCAGACTTGTGATTATTACACGGATGCTAGACATCTTATAAATAGGGTATAAAGAAAGAAAAAATTACATCTTGTCTTATAAAGAACAAAAGAGATGTATTAAAAGAGATGTTAATGGGATTTTGTCTAAGGATAAAGATATTTAGGAAAGATGAAAATGCTATATTGAAAATTAATTAAATTAGAGTTCAAAATTTTTCGTAAAAAGTACAAGCAAATTAAAAAAAAAAAGCAAATTTTACTTTGATTAAAAACAAAATGTGAAGTGAAATTTATGTTAAATATGCTTAAAGATAAAGCTTTCGATTTAGATGAGTCACCCCTTAAAATTTTAAAATTATAGGGGATATTGGTCAAATTTGAATTATAGATTATTTAAATATAATAAAAAATATTTGGATGTTGGCGCATAATTAGAGAATTATTTTGATATAGTATTAAAAAATAGAGCTGTTCAGATTTGTGGAAATTATATGGATATCAAATTTAATGAGCCATAAATTATGTTATAGGTGAGGGTAATATTGCATATATTTAAAAAAAATCATACTGATATTGGAGAATCAATTTTCTTTTATATTAGGAAGTTCCACTATCATGTTCATATTTTTTATCAGGGCATTTGATAAATAAACTTTAATGAATTGAGCATCATATAACTTCTATAATTCCTAACATGATATTATTTGAATATCATAAAATTTGATTTGTTGCGCACTTTTAAATTGTTTTTTGTTAATCATACAATTTTTTTTTTTATAAATATAAGTATTTTGTAGCATGGATTAGCATTAAAAATAATTGTGAAAGATTAAAGAATTCCCAATCAACAATAGTATTACATCAAGATTCAATGTAAAATATGTATTTTTTCCTATATTGGTTTTGATGATGCCTAAAAAGGATGTAGAATTTAGATAGCATAGCGTTGCTTTGGTAATTGGTTTAGATATAAAAATTCTGATAATTAGAAAAGATATAAGGAATTTAAGAAAGCAATATGCGATGCTAAGATCTTAGCTTTTAATGATTTATATAATAGATTAGATATTAAGGAGGCAGAAAGATATATATATATATATAAGTTAGCCAAACAAAGAGATAGCAGTAAGGATTTAGTTCAAGTGAAGTGTATTAAGGATGAAGATCAAAAAGTATTTTTCTTAGATGTAGATATTCAATAAAGATGGATGAGATATTTTGCTAAACTTTTTAATGAAGAATGTGAAAATACGATTGAATTTAGTGACCTTAGCACCTTAAATGAAAATAAAGATTTCTCTTTTTATCGGCATATTATTAAAAATGAAGTTATAGAGGTTTTAAAGAAAATGATGTATGGAATAACTCTTGGACTTGATGATATTCCACTAGAGATTTGAAAATACTTTGAAAATGAAGGATTTTCTTGGCTTACTAAAATTTTTAATACTGTTTTGAAGACTAAAAAGATGCCAAATAAGTGGAGAATGAGTGTGTCAATTCCTATTTTTAAGAATAAAGGTGATGCAGAAGATTGTGCGAATTATAGAAGAATTAAGTGCATGTTGAAATCCAACCGTTCCCTGTGCAAAGGATCCAATGGACACAAAGATCAATCATTGGGATGCTCTCATGGATCATGCCATACTGAAGGAACGAATTTAGGAAAGATTTTTATGTATTAAATATGTAATCTTTATTTCTGCATTTAGATATCTTGTATATATCTATAAATAGGGAAGATTGTAATGAATAAAGACAAGCTTTTTCCCTCTCGTACCTCTCAAATTAACATGGTATCAGAGCGTCGGAGGGGTTCAAGAGGAAAAACCTTCGTGAAGAAAGGCCTTCATTGCCATAGACGGAAAAGTTGTCGAAGGAGCGTAGACGAACGGCCACGAAGGAGCCAAAGAAGCCTCCTGCGAAGCAGCAAACCCGATCCACAGGAAGGGAAGATCGTCGAAGGAGA